GAGGGGGTGGATGGAAGGGAGGAAATCAGCTGGAGATGTGATCCGTGAGAGGGATGGCGGAAAGCTTGGTAGAGAGCGGAACTATAAAAGGGTACTACCGGTGATACTGTGACTACTGTTGTTCGCAAGATGTAGAAAAAGTGAATTATCAACTGTGACTCCTGTTGTTTGCAAGATGTAGAAAAAGTGAATTATCAACTGTGACTACTGTTGTTTGCAAGATGTAGAAAAAGTGAATTATCAAAAAGGAAAAAAAAGGAAAAAAAAGGAAAAAAAGAATATTAAAAAGAAACGGAAAGGACCAAGTATTTCCAACGTGGCTACTGTGCAGCCGTGAGATGTGCAGATTGGATGGCAGGAAGCGGTTCGTACTCGAAACCCAGTTGAACCCCCCGCTAGTGGAACTATCCCTGGCATCCTCCTTCCTGACTTGGAAGTCTGCGAAGTAGAGAGAGTCGACTTCCCCACCACACGGAACATTTCCCCTTCTGCTGAATGCAGATCCTCCTCGTCCTCCTCCTCCTCCTCCTATCTCGACCTTCCATCTCTTCTTCGTTGTCGTTTCCCCTCTCCTTCTTCTAGACCCCCTTGGCCCTGATCCAGCCATGTGCAGAGGAGAGTAGGGGGGGTAATTAAGCAGGAGGCAGTGCCTCCCTCTCCCCCCTTTCTACCTCCGTCAGTTTCCTCTGGCCTGATTTCATTCTCTCGTTGTGAAGACGGTATATCGCGAGACCAGATGAAAGGTGTATTGTGGGTCTGACCCCTCTCCAGTGTGATGTGAGAAATGGTGTGGAGTGTGAGTAACACGAGGAAAAGGAGGAGGAGGAAGAAGGAGAGAGGGCGACGACACAGAAGAACGCGAGGACGATGGCAGTAGTGAAGGAGAAGCAGAACAGGTGTAGGGCCTGGAAGAGGACGAAGGTGTGCAAAAGGTGGGGGTGCAAAAAGGAGGTGGAAATTAGCAACCTCTCGCCACTACACCATGTGAAGGGAGTGATGCCCTTCAACCCCTTATAACCCTTTACCAGATGTCAGTGAATGTTGTGCGAAGGAGATCGAAAGGGGAGGGGGTATTGATGTGTTGCTTGAAAACCATGTGTTATGGGTGTGGAAACGCAAACGTGTTCAATGCATGGGTACTGTATGGTTTTTCTTTTTTGTTGTTGTTTTCCTTTATAGAAAAGGTCGATGGTGTAGTAGTGGGTGGGGGCGAGGCCTCCCCCCCCCCCCCCCCCTTTTATAGAAAAGATCCAGGGTGTAGTAGCGGGTGGTGGTGAGGCCTCAGGAGGTGCCTGTAGTACTAATCCATTGGGAGGTCAGATGGATTGAGAGGACCCCTAGGGGGGGGTTACCTTAGGATGGCACCACTGTACCATGACCTATGCTAATGCTCAGATCACATGTCGTGATCTGCGCCAACGCTTACCGGACTAACCCGGATGTCTTCGTGCAGACACTACCCTAACTCGCTACCCTAACTCTAATGTTAAGGACGACCCGGGCACAGGTGGGGTCCGTGCATATGCAGTCATCCCCCATCTGTGCCTCATCCCGCAGACTCTATCGTCAGCCAACCGCCCTTCCACTAAGATGTGATATCCCACGCTCCCCTACTGTATGTTTTCTGTCTAGTGTTTTTTTTTTTTTTTTTTTTTTGTAAACAGGTCCTTGTGGTCCTGGCTCCTTGTCCATTCTGGGGAGTGTCTGTCCGGTTTCTATTACCCGGGCAAGTTAAGAATTACATCATTTGTACGCTCATGCGTCCTTCCGTTTTGCCGAAGGTTTCTGTCTAGTTAGCATCCTGTAAGTGTTTTTGAAAACGAAAACTTGAAACGTTAGCCCGACGAGTTTCCAAATCTCTGAAGCCGGCCTTTTCTATCTGCATCTTTATGGTGAACTTGGCCTAATGCATGATCCGCATTGGCAGCAGGGTGAAGGCAGTCCGGAGTAATTTCAAGATCACAATTAGTGAGTGGCCTTTTTTTCTATCAGTAATTGTTGGGTGAACATGCTCTTTCACTCTTGTCACTGGAATGTCTCAATCACCATGCCATGGATAGATACATTTGAAGGACCACCTGTGCCGCTCTGGGCCTTGTAGTTTCGGGACGACAATGGTTCCCCGCTCCACCCTGAGCCAGGCCAAAGCGATGGGATGGGGTTCCTAGTTCTGGGTTCAGGATCAGTTGTGTGGCATTTTCTGTCTATAAGCCGTCAGCCACCATGGGTTTTAAATAATTTGAGCGGGTGAATGTCATGAGCTAAGGTACACCCTTCTTGACAGCGGCCTTGCCTGTTCTCCTGTCTGCAACCCCTGGATGTTGAGATCTTCTGGTTTAAAACACCAGCACACACGTGCCTGGCGGCCTTCTGCTGCGCACCAAGCTTTTCTGAACTGCCAGCGGCAAACTTTTTTTCTTTTTTGGCTGGCGCCGCCAGCCATTGTGGTCCGGCAGCCCCGAGCCTCCGCAATTTTTGCAGGCGATGAAAGATCTCTCTACAAGGCTGGGACCGTGTACTGGCGGTCTCAGGGAGGCATGAAAAGGCGTAATGAGGAAATGAAGGTATGCAAGAGCAAGGTGTAGGTCGTGGCGAAAGGGGGGAGATAGGGCGGGCGGAGGGAGACAGGTAGTAGAGGCGCTGGTTTCAGAGTGAGTGAGCCATGCGGTTGACCATTTTGAGTTATTGTGAATCTGTCTATGATCATTGGGTTTCGTTTTTTTTCTTATTGCAGATTTCCGATCCCTTTGGAGTTGTAGCTACAGTGAAGAAAGGTGTGTGATCGATCCTCTTGATCCCTACTATCCACTCTCTCTCTCTCTAAAGCAGTGGTCTTTTTGTCCAGGAGGTGCTGTGATGACTCTCAGTCTAATCTCATTGCCCAGGTTTCGCTTTTCGAATTGCAGACTTCACATCCCATCCCATCGTAGTTACTAAGAAAGCCAGTGTGTATTCCGAGTATGGGCCTCGTGCCACTACTCAACATTCGACAGGCAACAGGAATAAGGACTGAAGCATGGACCAGTTACATTTGGACTGATCCAACGTTTTGAATGTTTTGAGATCATCATCAGGTCCAGACACATGTAGAATGTCGAGTAGTGGAGAGAGACCCTCTACGCCACACCGGTTCCCCGGTGATGTGGATTGGCTGCAATTAATGGCCTTCTGACATTCAAATGCAGCGAAGCGGAAGTTGAATATCACCTGAACAGCAAAAAACAACAGGAGCAAAAAGCATTATTGTAACTGTACTGGTGGTTACATGCACAGGGCCTAGCTCGGTTGGCACACCCATGAACTGTTGAAATACAGACTCGAGTTCGAATCCAACTGCAACCAGATGACCATACTATAATCATTTTGAATTACCTGGGGCCGGTCAGCTCAATGATGATATCCCAAGAGAAGAGAAATCTGTAACCATATGAAGCTTGAATAGAAGTGCTTGAGAAGAAGTTGTAGACATGTAAGTATAAGTGAAGGTCAGGCTCTACTGGTACTATGGTTGTGCTATGTATAGCACATGAACCTTGGCAGTTGTGGACCTAGGTTGATGCTGGTTTATCATGATGAACTATGCGCCGCACCAATGGGGCCTATACTGTCTGCACCCGAATAGAACGCGGGGTCACTGCCACTCTAGCTAGACTGAAAATTCTCCCAAATGCAGCTGTAACGACCGGGCGTTCTATTCAGGTGACGACGGTAGGACTGAGTCATATATACTGCACGTAGCCAGGATATAAATAGGAAGAGAAGAAAGTTATTGTTGCATGTCATAGCTCTTGATGTATCTGAGCGGAATTATTGCTTAGATTCAATCAGAGAGGTCCAAATGTGATTATTAAGCCTTGTGGTACCCCTGGGTCTTAGGGCATAGTAAGACTGGGGCATTGCTTGATGTATTTGGCCGGAATTGTTGCTTAGATTCGATCAGAGAGGTCCAGATGTGACTATTATACTCTTATTCGTTTTGATGGATGTCCCTGCAAAGAAAGAGGATACCCCTGGGTCTTAGGGCATAGTGAGACCGCGGCATTTGTTCATGTATTTGACTGTAATTGTGGCTTAGATTCAATCCAAAAGGTCTTGATGTGATTATTATGCCTTTATCCGTTTTGATGTTTCTGCAAAGAAAGAGGATGAGCCTAATTTTGATTAGGAATTCAGGTGTGGATCTTAGTGCGCTTATCAGACACGTAGAAGTTAGACCCCTCCCCCAATTCAATAGCTTATGGTGTTATGCGTGGGCATGCTATGAGTAAAGCTTATATACCATCTGTGCTAAGCCATCTAAAATTAAAATTCTATATGCATATATGCTTAGCTTCTGGGCTTTCACCCAGATTATGTTAAAGTGCTATGGTAATTGCAGGTTGGAATCACTACAAGGCCTATTCCTACTGGCCATGCGAATTGCCTATAGCAATATAGCTCGAAGGCCCATGATGTAGGGGACTGGTGCAGAGGAGATCCAGCGATTCTGCTGTTGCGCCAGTCCCCTACAGCATGGCCATGCGAAATGCCTATAGCAATGGCTAGAAGGCCATGTGAAATGCCTGTAGCAATGGCTAGAAGGCCAACATGCATTTCAGAATGTCTAAGCCTTTTACTGGCACGTAAAATAGGGGGAGTGCTATTGCTCCCCTGCTCTTTCCCTATTGAAATGCATGTTGAAAGTTGTCCTTTCTCTCTCCTCTTCAGGATGCCTAAGTGTTGCAATGTCCTTTTTCTCTTCTCTTCAGGATGCCTAAGTGTTGCGATGTCCTTTTTCTCCTCTTCAGGATGCCTAAGTGTTGTGAGGATGTACTTGGATGCACGACGCTCTGTAGAGGACCAGATTAAGGTAATCAGCAGTCCTTTCTTTCATGTTCTCTTCTGTATTGCCAAGGCAATATGTTTTTTTTTTTTTTTTCCTTTTTGCTCTAGGTCCTTGTTTTCAAAATGCAATGGGAAGTTTACCTTGCTTTTATGTTTTGACTTTTAAGTAAATGACAGTCCCAATGAGTTCAATCCACAATTTGAGAGAGGAGAGCTGCAGACTACAACAGTTCTGCTGCAGCATTTAGATGGGACTTACAGAACAAGGGTGCCATGCAGTGGGAATTTCTGCTGTCCGCCGAGTGCCGGGTGGTAAAGGGCATGCAGTACAAGTGTGCAACGCCATTGGACAAGTTTTCTCGGACAATGCTTTTTCATGACATGAGGCAGGAGACTTTATGGTGGCATTGGGGGTGGGGGGAGAGAGAGAGAGAGAGAGAGAGAGAGAGAGAGAGAGAGAGAGAGAGAGAGAGAGAGAGAGAGAGAG